AGCGCCTGCTGCCCCAGCCTCTGCTACAGTCAATATGCTCTTTGTATTAAGCTTTCCCTGTTCCGATTACCGTGTGGCTCTGCCTCCTGGTGGATGTCGCCTGGTAGAGTGGATGCCAGAAGTGGTACTTGGGAGAGAAACCGGGACACAGAACTTGGGGACGGAGCTGGCCACACCCTTGGGCTTCCAGCAGGGTGTTCTTTGCCCCTTGGGAATGGGCTGCCAGCCACATGTGGCACGCAGTGGCAGCACGATGAATCAAACTACCACCTGTGGTGGGTGTGAAGGACGTGCCCACGGAACTGTGCGCTCCGGGCATCCGAGTGGCCACTGCCGTGGGCCCCTGGGCAGCAATGAGGACCAGAAAGACTTTGGCGTGGGGTTGAGGTCCTGAGTGTGCAGAAACACAGGGGAAAAGGGCCAATGTGGACATGTGCCTCCCTGCTCGGGTCACTGAGAGCCCGGACGTCCCAACAACAGCCCCACCGCATTGTCCCAGCACCGGCTGTTGCTGAAACTCGGGTTGTGAGTCACGGCAGTTTAATCCAGAGCCTCCCAGGTTCCCTGTGCGAAAGGCTGGGCACTGACAGGGAACGAAGGGGTTCCTGGAACTCCGAGTTGGGGTCGTATGTTTGAATTTAGAGAGAAGTGGAAATCTGGAATTCCCATGTCAGCCTGACCCGCTGTTAGGAGCAGAGGAGTGTGCCGGCCCATGTCCAAGGACGCCAATCTTCTCCTTCCGCTTGTTAAACCAACCCCCCCCCCCCCCCGCCATAACCTCACCCTCCCACTCCTCAAGAACCAATCAGAATTACCCGTTGTAGCAATCTGACCCAGGATCGCTATCTAATCTGGGGCTGGCTTGTGGCTCAGCAGGTTAACCCGCCTCCTGTGACACTGCATTCCTCTTTGGAGTCCAGGTTCAAGTCTCCGCTGCTCCACATCCAACCCAGCTCCCTGCTAATCTGTCTGGGAAAGCAGCAGAAGATGCCCCAAGCGCTTGGGCCCCTGCCACCTATGCGCAAGTTTTGGATGGAGTTCCAGGCTCCTGGCTTTGGCCTGGCCCTGCCCCAGCAGCTGTGGCCGTTTGGAAAGTGAATCAGCAGATCAGTGATTTTCATTCTCTCTCTCTCTCTCTCTCTCTCTCTCTCTCTCTGTGTGTGTGTGTGTGTTTCTTCCTCTCGCTGTGTGTTACTCTATCAAATCAATAAATTAATCTTTTTTAAAAAGAATTGCAAGACTTTGATAATATGTAGCAATAAAAGCCTGAGAAAATAAGGAGTGGATTTTTTAATAATAACCATTTTTTAAGTCTACACTGCAGTGGTATTAAGTATATTCAAGAGTAGATTTTAAAGGGCCAGCGCTGTGGTGTACTGGGTTAAGCCACCACCTGCAGAACTTGCATCCCTTATGGGCACCGGTTCAAGTCCTGGCTGCTCCACTTCATATCCAGCTCTCTGTTATGGCCTGGGAAAGCAGTAGAAGATGGCCCAAGTCTTTGGGTCCCTGCTCCCACATGGGAAACCTGGATAAAGCTCCTGGATCCTGGCTTCGACTGGCCCTGCTCCAGCCATTGTGGCCATTTGGGGAGTGAACTGGTAAATGGATTCTCTCTCTCTCTCTCTCTCTCTCTCTACCTCTGCCTCTCCCTCTCTGTATCTCTACCTTTCAAACAAATAAATAAGTCTTTTTAAAAGGTGGATTTTAAGCACAATGCACCAAGGAGGACAAACTAAAACAAAAACCGAGGAAGAATTCATCTGTCCTAGGGGTGGGGAACCCTTTCCTGCCAAGGGCCATTGGATACTTGTGACATCATTTGCTGGCCATACGAATTATCGACTTGAAAATGAGCCTGCTACAGATTCATGGGATTGCAAGTTCCGCCTGCAGGTGCCTGGGCAGGGCCAGACCCAGCGATTACCAGGCCTTACACAGCCTGCGGGCAGGATGCCCCCCCCCCCCCGCGCTTAATGCTTAGGCCTTTGGGGAGCGTTCAACACCTGCATGAAGGTCCAGGCACAGCCAGGAAGGACCCTGTGTCCTTGCTTCACGTTTAGATCTTTAAAAAAAAATCTACTGGGGCTGGCGCTGTGGCTCAGCGGGTTAAAGCCCCGGCCTGCGGCACCGGCATCCCTTATGGGCACCAGTTTGAGTCTCAGCTGCTCTACCGCTGATCCAGCTCTCTGCTATGGCCTCGGAAAATAGTAGAAGAAGCCCCAAGTCCTTGGTCCCCTATACTCGTGTGGGAGACCTGGAAGAAGCTCCTGATTCCTGGCTTCAGATCAGCTCAGCTCTGACTTTTGTGGTCATTCGGGAAGTGAACCAGAAGATGGAAGACCTCTCTCCTCTCTCTCTCTGGCTCTCCCTCTCAGTAATTCTGTCTTTCAAATAAATGAAATAAATCTTTATTTGAAAGGCAGAACAACAGAGGGAGAGAGAGAAGACAGAGCGAGAGGTCTTCCATTCCCTGCTTCACTCTCCAAATGGCTGCAACAACCAGGGTTGGCCCAGATTGAAGCCAGGAGCCAAGAACTCCGTCCTCTTCTCCCACATGGGTGGCAGGGGCCCAGGCACCTGGGCCTCCCCCTGCTGTCTTCCCAGGCACATGAGCAGGCAGTTTAAATTTCCCTCCAAGTTCTCCCTGAAGGGCTCTGTAGCTGTTAACCACAGTGCGCGTGCACAGGAATAAAGCAAAGACTCGAATTTCCCAGGAGCATGAGCACGAATCCCGAGGACCAGCGATGCTGCTGTGGCTCCCCCCATCGCATGGGGATTCCGCGGTCGGGCGACAGACAAAGCACGCCTGGAGCAGGCACCACTGATTCTCGAAGCAGGTGTCTGTGATACGCCTGGTGCCTGAAGCGCCGTGGAGCTTGACAAAAGCCGATGCTGGCTCTGACCAAAGATTGAGGAGGGTCCTTGTGGGAGGAGGGGCCACGTGGGAGGCCCTGCACCTCCCCTCCCTGCTGAGAGAGAGAGTCAGAAACAGAGCTACAACCCCCCCACCCCCCGCCCCGGGTCTGCAGAGATGAAGACCGCCGGGGACTCGGGTGAATTCACCGGCTGGGCTCGCAGCGTGGAGGACCTCTGGGGGCGATCCTAGACTCTCTCCCGCGCCGGCTCCTGTTGCAGCTGCTCTCCTGGTTCGACCGGAGGAAGAAACGCAGGCCGGCCCTGGCCTTTGGGCAGCAGGTGGTGCCTCTTCCTCCCCACCGTGCGGAAGGACCGCAGCAGTCACGGCCTCTACCTGCGCGCGGCCGCAGTGCAGCTTCGCCGTCTTAGCCCAGGACTGGGCCAGCTCTGCTTTCTACACTCGCGCAGTGTACAAGAGCTCCAGACCGCGAGCTTCCTGCAGGCACCGCCCTGGCCCACTACAGCCAGGCCCGCGCGCCCATTGGATCAAAGGCGCAGAAACAAGCCAGTGTTGTACATGTTGTGTGAGCCGGGGTCCACGCAGAGACGGGGCGTCCCAGAGAGCAGGACCCGTCCCGGCCTGCAGCACAAGATCCAGAGGTCACCTTAGAGGTCATGGCCACAGCGAGGGAGAGGGGGTGCGCAGGGAAGGGGCCTCGCTGGTGTCGCTCTGCGGCAAACTGCCCGAGTGGGACCAAAGGAGGCTGCGGCCACGGGCAGCGAAGGTGGCTGCGCACGGAAGCCACTGGCGCAGGACCACCTGCTGGGCCCAGAGATGGCAAAACCCTGCGCTGTGGCTCTCGGGCAAGAGGAGCCCCCAGTCACAGCCAGGAGACCGGTCCTCTCCGGAATCCACCCCGCCCGCACCCGCACGGCTGCTGCCAGCAAACACTGGAGGCGCAGAAACTGCTCCCACTTGGAGCGCGGCGCGCGGACTGACCTTCCTGTTGGCGCTGGTTCTGCCTGCCCGCCGAGGCCCGTGGGAGCCACACGGAGCAGCCCAGGGGGACCATGCGCCCGGCAGGTGCATCCCAGCCCCAGGGCCCCTGACCCGGGGGAACCAGCCTCTTTAGGAGCAAGCAGACCTGCTGACCCCTCCCCCTGGGCAGTCTGGGAGCGTGCCCCCTGCGGCAGGAAGCAGCACTCTCTCTCGGTGTCTTCCACGGTGACTCAGTCATTGAATGATGCGCTAGGTCCTGGGCCGCCACTGGCTCTGATGGTGTTCCCAAGGAGGACCCCTCCCGGCCGCGCCCGCGCCCCCCGCTGGCGGCCCTGCTGCGGGCCCATCTCGCTCTGAGATCGCCTGTCCTCCAGTTGCACCTGACTCCGAGGCTGGCGGGGAAGGGAGAGAACAGCTTTCAATTCGCCTCCCGCGGCAAAGGGGCGCACACACTCAGGCCGGCGGGATCGGGCTAACCCACCACCACGCCGACCCCCAGAGAAATCTGCCAACGTCTTGGAGCTCAGCTTAGCAAGCCAGGCCTGTGCAGTTTTTTTGTTTGTTTGTTTTTTTAAGATTTATTTATGGGACCGGCGTCATGGCAAAGCAGGTTAAAACCCCTGCCTGCAGCAGCACCGACACTCCATATTGGCACCGGTTCAAGTCCTGGCTGCTCCACTTCCCATCCAGCTCCTTGCTAAAATGCCTGGGAAATCAGCAAAGGATGGCACAAGTCCTTGGGTCCCTGCACCCACATGGGAGACCCAGAAGAAGCTCCTGGCTCCTGGCTTTGGAGGGGCTCAGCTCCAGCTGTTGCAGCCACTGGGGGGATAAGCCAGAGTTACAGAGAGAGAGAGGGAGGGAGAGTCGGAGAAAAAGGTCTTCCATCTGCTGGTTCACTCCCCAAATGCCTGCAATGGCCAGAGCTAAGCTGATACAAAGCCAGGAGCCAGGACCAGGAGCTTCTCCCGGGTCTCCCACGCGGTGGCCACAGCATCTCCCAGGCTCACTGGGATCACTCTGAGTGACACTTGAGCCAGAGCTGTCAGGTGACCCCTGTCAGGTGACTCCAGTCCTGGCAGAAGCCGTGGCCCACGCCAGGCATCGTCATCGTGGTACAGAGTCACCGGGGACACAGAGACCAGATGTTGGCATTTATTCTGCATATACATGCGTGTCACGGCAATGAGAAGTCACCAGGGCATCCCCACCCCCTCTGCTGCGGCTGCCACGTGATGGCAGTGGTGGGACAGATAGCGCCGGCCGCCCACCTGCGAGGGGGATGGACTTGAACTCTAAGCGGCACTGTTCCGGGCTTACTTCTCAGCCTCCCCACGTGGGTCTAGCGCTGACTCAGCATCTCTGTCCCTCAGCGAGTACGCACCCAGGGACCCAGCAGGTGCAGGAGGCCACGCCGCCCCTCCCTCTCGGGACCTGGGGCCACCGTCAGATGCCCTTTATGTAACAGACCACGGCATTCATGATTTCCTGGGAGCACGGGAACGAGAGATGTTTCTTATCGAACAAGATCACAGACCCGTGGAAGCCGTCCTCCGCGTGGTGCCAGGTCACGGGCACGCCCTGGTCCTCCAGGCGCTTCCTGTAGAGCAGGGCGTCATCTCGGAGGATGTCATTCCCGCAGCTCACCACGAAGGCCTCCGGGAGCTGAGCAATGACCTCGTCTTCTGCTAGGATGGGCGAGTTTTCGACGTCCAGAAGGTGCTTCATCTCCAGGTAGGCGGCCTCGTTGAAAGGGGCGGGGAAGCTGGGCTGGTGGCTCTTGGTTTTGAACCTCTTGGGGATATTGTCCGAGCTGAGCCACTTCTTGTACTTGCTCCAGGCTTCCGGGGGTATGAAAGCACCCGTCAAGAGGGCGCGATGCCAGGAGCGGTGGATGTTCATGTATTGACACACCACGGTCACCACGAACTTGCGAGTCAGGAACGGAACCCTCTGGTTCTGTCGGAAGGATGGCAGCTGCAGATTGACAGCCTGGACAATTGGGTTAATCAGGACCTGAGCCCGGATCCGGGGGAGATCCGGGCGCCCCACCAAGCTCTGCGTGGTGACGGCCACAGCCCCGCCTCCAATGCTCTCTCCGCAGAGCACTACTCGGGCGGGGTCTACCCCGTAGGTGTCCAGGGCCTTCAGGAAGTGGATGGAGGCGTTCAGGCAGTCCTTGGTGATGATGGGGCTGTGGTAGTCGGGAAGCTTGCGGTACCTGGGGAGGACATAGGAGCAAGGCCCACCCCGTGTGGACCAGTGTCACAAGGGGCCGTGGGAACCATGCCTCCAACCCCCCTTGTGAGACCACAACCTGACCAGGTCCTCAGAATGACTCTGCTAAGACAGGATTGTGTTCCCTCTGCCCCTAAGGGGCGGGCAGAACTTGGCCGGAGCCAGCCAGCCCGGGGTTCCTGCCTTCCAACCTGTCCTCTGTCTGTTCCCATACACCCGGATCAGGCACCTGGAAAACCACTTGCTCTGAAAGTGAGGCAGCCAGCAGTGACAGCGAAAGGCCAGCACAGCCACTGCCGGGTCCCTGGCCATCAGCAGAGAGGGGGGAGGGACCACAAGGCCAAGGTCAGGGGGAAGTTGCCTCCAGCCAGGACTGCTGTTGAAACCTGAAATTTAGTGAGTAAGGCGCGTTCTCTCCCAGGGACGGGCACAGTTGCCCTCTGCCCTGGGCTCAGGAGATGGGGAAGGGAAGAGTGAGAGGTGCCCTGAGGGCGCAGATGTGCGAAGGCGAATGAGGCAGGAAGAGGCGCAGCTGCAGCTGGGGACGGCCCAGGGACCAGAGGCCGACGGCAAGCAGCCCCCCAAGTTTGGTCCAGAGCATCCTGAGGCAGGTGTCCCCTAAAACCAAGAGCAAGGAAGAGGGGCTTCCCAAGGAGCCCCTACAGGGGGAAGCACCAGCTAACTGGTGCACGAACTGGGACTCGGGCGACAGCAAGGAGGATGGGACAGGACACTGCGAAAGGTCGGCCACACTGCTGGATTAGGGAGCTTTTCTCAACACGCTTTCCTGAGATTGCTGGCTGAGGTTGATCCCAGGTAGCGGACTGTGTTTGTAATGTATTATGTCAAAGCGTCCACAGGTATATATGAATCCTCAGCTTACATTTGGAAGAACTGATAAAGGGTCCTGGATTTCAAACCGTTAGAGTCACAGCCACATTTTTTTTTCTATTTAAAGGATGAAGTGAATAAGAACAGTGGTTCCGCTTGTGTCCCAGCTTAAGGGCTCAGCACCCTCCCACTCTCTTCTTCCTCCCTAGCTGTGCCGCCATGAGGAGCCCCCGGTGTGCAGGGCCACTTAGAACTCTGCTGCCCTCTGTCGGACGTGAATCCTGCGTCCTTCCACAGTGGCTCCAAGGTCAGGGACCAAGACAGGGCGCTTGGCTCTATCTCTGCCCTGAGCAATGTGCTGATCAAGACACCAGTGGTGTCCACGCAAGTTCCCACTTAAACAGGGCAGAACACCTGCCACGACTGGGCCCCTGCTGGGAGCCGGCCCAGCAGCCGGGAGCCGCGAGCGCTCGGTTCCCTCTGTCTTCCCACGCAGGGAACACGCCCACTCATGCTGCCCGTCTGCCCGGACGCTGTGACTGCTATAACCCACTCTGAGCTTCCCACTGGGGCAATCTCTGACCACCAAGAAGCGGCAGAAAAGTCCCCACGCTCCCCTGCACCCATCTCTCGGCCTCAGCCGTGGACTGAACGCTTGTTCCCCTGAATCCCTTGGCTCAACTCCCACCCCACGAGGCTGGGGCTCCAGTAGGTGGGCCTTGGGGGTGATTAAGTCACGAAGATGGGGCCCTAACACTCGCCCTGAGCACCCTCTGACTTCCCTTCCTCCCCGTGGGATGCAAGGAACAGTCAGCATCTGCAGCCAAAACAGGGTCCTCACCACACCCAGCCACGTGGCGCCCTGGTCTGGGCTCCCAGCCTCCAGGAGGGGGACACAGCTGTGTGTTGGGGCAGCCCCCAGCCTCTGCGCGTTGTTACAGCAGTGCAAAGGGGCTGAGATGCCACCTGGCGGGGAGGGTGTGCTTTGCAGAACCAAGAGGACAAAATCCGGTTTCCTCCAGGAGCTGGGAGGGTGTCCCACTTATCCTGCAGAGAAGTCAGCCAGGGCCGGCGCTGTGGCCCTGTCAGTAAAGCTGCCATGTGTGGCACCAGCATCCCATGCGGGCACCAGTTCAATTCCCAGCTGCTCCACTTCCAATCCAGCTCTCTGCTAATGGCCTTGCAAAGCAGTGGAGGACGCCTCAACTGCTTGCGGCCCTGAACCCATCTGGGAGACCTGGAAGAAGCTCCTGGCTCCTGGCTCCTGGCTCCTGGCTCCTGGCTTCAGACTGGCCCAGTCCCATCTGTCGCGGCCGTTTGGGGAGTGAATCAGCAGATGGAAGATCTCTCTCTCTCTCTCTCTCTCTCCATCTCTTCCCCTCTCTTCTCTGTAATTCTACCTTTCAGGTAAATAAATAAATATTTTAAAAAATAGAGAAGTCAGGGGACACCGGCACCAGTGCCACCTCCCCGAGTTTCAGGGTCCCTCAGGGAGTCCCCGCCCGGCACTGTCGATGGTGGCCCCTCTCTGCCTGTGTGGCTCCACTGCCTCTCTTAGAACTGCATTGCCGTGCCGGGTCTTTCTGGACGTCCACAGTGGTGCTGCACTGCACAATCTCCCGCAGGTGTTGGAGCCGGCGCTCGTCACACCCCTCCCTCTTCCTCTGCGGGGGTCTTCCTAAGACCACACAGCCTTTGGAGAGGAAGTGCTAATGGCCAAATTTGGGACCCCATGGTAAACCTGCTGGGAGGGATGTTGGTGAATGCTGGAAAGATATTGCTTCCCCATCTCATCAGAGACGAGCAGAGAGGCCAGGTGACTTTCTCTAGGTCACACTGCCTGGGGCAGCCACATTTTCAGGAGTTGTTGACAGAGAGGATATCTTCCATGCGTCTCACTTGCCATCTGCAACCTGCTACCCCCGACCATGATCTCTGGCTCCAGAGGCACATCCTACTGCATAGACCCCACCCCACCCCCCACTCCCAGGCCCCCCTCCTCCTTTTTCTTTCCAAAGGACCTGGGTTGTGTCTGAAGAAACTGCACGTTAATCTCTCCATGAGCAGCAGGCAGCTGGTTAGGTGGCTGTTTGGTTTGTTTGCTTGTATTCACTTATTTGAGAGACAGAGACAGACAGACAGCGCTCCCACCCATTGGTTCACTCGCCAGATGCAGCCATGGCCAAGGCCGGACCAAGGCAAAGCCAGCAGCTGGGGACTCCGTGCGGGTCTCGTGCACGGCCAGCAGTTAAAGGGAGTTTGGACCATGCAACAAGCACCGCAGGACCAACACCACAGCCCTCCTAGGGTGCCCTCCCTCGTCCCCAACCCTCCCCCAGCTGAGAAAGGGGGAGCCTGGGTGCTGGACCCGCCCTTCCCGGCTGTGATCCCATCATTGGGGTTCTAGTCCTAGAACGTATCAGATGATACAACTTTCTGGAGCTGTTTATGTAATTTCATATGGCTAAGACTTGTGCACATTGTGGCGTGGCCTTCGGTTTACCTACCTCCATGCCTCTGTGGCATCCGCTAATACCTTCGTGGCCATGGAACCTAATATGCATGATGGCACCGTTTTTCACGCCTTCTCTGCTCATGGGCATTTGGGCTGATGTTAACATTTGTATTTGTTTATTTAATATATATTTATTCATTTATTTATTCGAAAGGCAGAGTGACCCAAAGCAAAGCAGAGAGAGAGAGAGAGAGAAAACTTCCATCTATTGGTTCACTCCCCAAATAATCTCAATAGGCAAATCTGGGCCAGCCTGAATCCAGGAGCCAGGAACTCCATGCTAGTCTCCCAGCTGGGTGACAGGGACCCAAGCTCTTAGCCATCCTCTGCTGCCTTCCCGGGCACATCAGCAGGAAGCTGGATTTGAAGCAGAGCGGCCGGGACTCAGATCGGTGCTCATGTGGGATGCGGGAGTCACTAGTGGCGGCTTTACCTGCTGCTTCCATCACTGGCTCCCATGGCCAGGTCTTGCTATTCTGAGCAGAGCTGCACCTGTCTCAGGGGGATGTGTGGGAGTGCCTGATGGGGCACAGGGCCTCTCTCTATCCTATCCTTACCCAGAATCCTCCCATTTCGCTCCCCACCCGCCGTAGAACACCCACCGCTGTCTCCAGCAACTCACCCAACTGAGAGTACCACAGAGTCGGTCTCCCGGGCCAGGAAGCTGCACAGGCTATGGTAGCAATCTGCAAGACGAGACAGTGCCGTGAGAAGGGGCCCCGCGTTGCCACCACACCCAGGGAGAGCCAGGTGACAAAGGAGGTGTGGTGTGACATCCCGTCTTTGTCCCTGTGCCTGGATCCTCTGAAGTGACTCTGGCCACCTCGGCAGGGACAAAGCCCACAAGCCATGCCCAGCTGACGTCAGCCCTGTCCCTGGACGTCAAGGGCACCGGGAGCTCACCTCCTGCAGTGTTTGCTCGCACTGGGGGGCATCTGAGGGCCATGGAGCCTTGATGATTTGGGATGGACAGAGCCACGGCCAGCGTGCTGGGCCTGCCTCCCTACGACATTCTCCCAACGTCTCGCAGGTGTCGTTACAGTTCCAGCAGCGGCTTGGGACACCTGATGTGCTTGAACGAGGTAGGGTAACATGGTGTGCAGGGCGTCCAGGCCCAGTGGGAGCACAGAATCTCTGCTGTTCTCAGCTTCAGCTGCCCATGGAGGCCCTGGGGCGGGTCCACGAGGGCTCACGGCCAGGCTGAACCCCACGCCCAGAGAGCAGAATCTCGGGAGTGGGGTGCGGGCATCAGGGCTCGGGGGTGGCAGAGGTGGTGCACACCTTGCCCGTGCAGGGCTGCGAGGTGAGGACGGTGCAGCCGGGAGTGGAGCTCGGAGGGCAGCGGCCGAGTCAGGATATGTGTGTGGGGGATGGAGATGCCACGTTATGTGTGTTTTATGGAGATGCCATGTTATATGTGTGTGGTATGAAGATGCCACGTTAGCATGTGTGGTATGGAGATGCCACGTTATGTGTGTGTGGTACAAGGAGTTCACATTGTGTGTGTGTGGTGTGAGGAGGCCAGGTAATGTGTGTGTGGTATGAACAGTCCATGTTATGTGTGTGGTATGGAGATGCCATGTTATGTGTGTCTGGTATGAAGAGGCATGCTATGTGTGAGTGGTATGAGGAGGTCACGTTAGCGCTCAGTAACCACGAGGGCTTCACAGTTCCCGGGAACCCGTGTCGTGATAACTAGGCATGGACTGCCAAGCTTTTTAGCACCGAATACACTCACTGGAACTCCACTGTCCATGAATTTTTGGAAAGCCCCTGTTGTTGCTGGGCAACCTCGGGTCCGCCTATGGAAGTGACGTCACCCTCAACGGGGGCGGAGAACACCCCCCCACACACGTGGTGAGGGCGCGGCAGCGACTGAAACAGAAGAGTGGTCTGGGACCAGGGCGGCCCTTGGTGGGGGTAGTCCAGGTCTTGTCGGACAGGGAGGCCCCTGGCGCCCTGTGTGCTCAGAGCCAGAGCCAACACTGCCACCCGCCATCAGGTGGCAGCCGGTGCACCTGCGTCTCGGGGAAGCTACTCCCACGGAGGGGAGAGGTCCGCCTTGTACATGGCCAGGCCGGCTCCCGCGTGCCCATGCTTCCACCTATGCGCACATTGTCCACAAACCCCGCCGTCAGCCTGCACGCATTCAGAACACTAGGACAATAGACAGGGAGCAGGACCCTGCCGCGGAGGAAGCGGGGTGTTCTCTGGGCGCTGGGTGCTCCCTTTCCCAGTGGCGGAGACAGACCGTGAGCAGGGAGACACCAGCAGGAGCGGGTAAGTTCAGGCTGGGACGAGTGCAGGAAAGAACAAGACAAGGACGGTGTCGGGGTGGGGGTGGGGGGACAGAGAGAGGGCGGGGCGGCAGGTGGGCAGGGAGCGTTCTTTAGATGAGATGCTGGGGGGCGGGGCTCTGGGGAGGGACCTGGGAGCAGTGAGGGTGGTCAACACTGCGCGGGGGAGGTGGGACTCGGGAATCCCAGCAAACAGCAAGTGCAGAGGCCCCAGGGGGAGGAGCCCGCGTGTCCGCGGCATGAGAGCCATAGCTGAGCACAGGGAAGGCAGGGGGCAGCCACGTGGGACCGGGTGCCCTCGGTGGGCAGCGCCAGCTGGGTCAGAGCCTCACAGCTGTGGGAGTGGGCTTCACAGAGGGGCCCGGGCGCGGCTTAAGCACCAGATGACCAGCTCTGATGGGTCGATCTCAGAGACCCCTCCGTCTGCTGCCTGAGGACCAGAGTGTGCAGGGCAAGAGGAGAGGCGGAGCCCAGGGTGAAGCCCGTGGGAAGGAGAAGTGGGGTCTCAGCCCCCAGCGCTGCTCAGAGATGGAAGGAAATGCGCAGGTCTGAGCCCACTGTGGGGCAGACAGGACAGCAGGACAGCTGTGCGTGGGGAGGGAGGGGAAGCGTCCTCACAGGGCCCACAGCCCCGCTGGGACAAGCCTGGCCCCACCGTGACCCTCCCATTGCCTTGTAGGCTGATTTCCCCGGAGGCTGCATCCCCGCGCGGTCTGGGCTCCCGGGACGGCTCCTCCAGGCGGTGGTGGCTCTGTTACTCCTATGGGGCGCTCCAGGGAGACGGGGCAGCGCTGGGCTCGGATTGGAACCCCTGACGTCCGAACCCGTGGGAGGCTCCTTACCCAGACTCCCGAACACGGCTCCCCCACCGTGGTAGAAGATGATGCCTCGCCGGGGGCCGGAGGACGGGGCCGTGGGCTGGAACAGCCTCACGGGCACCGAGCCGAAACGCAGGTTGGTCACCGCCACCTTGGGGTCCTTCTTTATGATCACGAGGTCGTGCACAAAACGGGCAAATTTAGGCATGGGGCAAATGCCCAGCTTCTCCAATATGTTCCCCTGTGGAGGTGAAGAGGAGAGTTAGATGTAAGGGGAGGGGCCGGGGGGGAGGGCAGGCCAGGCAGGTACTCCCTAACACCCTGCTAGGAGGTTTTCAGTTTCTCACCAGCCTTCTGCACGCACCCAGAGGCGGTGGGCTTCCGGTGCTGTCCAGTTTGGGGGCTGGATTTTTAGACCTTTCCTTCCAAATGGTCTTGATTGAAAATGCTATTGCCATGGTTTAACGTCCCCTCCAAAACCCTTGGTAATGTTATCAAGGAGCAGGACTAAGAGGCGATTAGTCATAGGGACAGCACCCTCGGGCGTGGATCCGCTATTTCTCAGGAGTGGGCTAGTATCGAGCAAGTGGACCCCAGGTACAAGATTCAGTTCAGGTACCGGCAGTGTGGCTGCCACTTGCGGTATCGGGAGCGCCAGATTGAGTCCTGAGTCCTGGCCGCTCTGCTTCTGATGCAGCTCCCTGCTAATGCACCTGGGGAGGCGGCAGGTGACGGCCCAAGTGCTCAGCCCCTGCCACCCACACGGGAAAGCTGGAGGGAGCTCCTGGCTCCTGCCTTCAGCATGGTTCAGCCCTAGCTGTTGAGGCCACTTGGGGAGTGAACTAGCAGAGATCTCTCTCTCTCTCTCTCTCTCTTCCTTCTAAATTTTTTTGTTAAGATTTATTTATTTATTTGAAAGGCAGAGTTACAGAGAGAGAGGGAGAAACGTAAAGAGAGAGAGAGAGAGCTTCCATCTGCTGCTTTACTTTCCCAAATGGCTAAAACAGCCAGGGCTGGGCCAGGCCAAAGCCAGGAGCCAGGAGCTCCATCAAGGTCTCCCACAGGGGCACAGTGACCCAAGCACTTGGGCCATCTTCTGCTGTTTTCCCTGGCCCCTTGCCAGAGAGCTGGATGAGAAATGGAGCCGCTCTCTCTCTGTCTGGACCCCTTATGGTAAGATGATGTCTCTGTCTCTTTTTTTTTCGGGGGAGACAATAGTGAAGTGAGAGTGGGGATGTCTCGAAAAAAGAAAAAACTCTGCGCGAGAGAGAGGCCCCCCACAGGGACACCCTTTCTGCTTGTGTCTCCTGTGCTAGGTGCCAAGAAAAAAAGCGAAAAATGGCGCGAGTGTGTGTGTGCGCGCCCCACACACCACAGACATGAAAAAAAAGTCTCTCGCTCGTGTTCTCTGGGCGCCCCCTCTGTGAGAAGAGAGAAAAAACAGACATCTCTCTCTTCCTCTCTCTCTCTCTCTCTCTTTCACATATATATACTCTATAAACAGAGAGAGAGAGGAGTGGGCGCACAAATATGTGGCGCCCACATCTCTGTATGGGGGAGATGGGGGGCGGGCCCCCCGTGTGTCAACACCACAGAAGCGCGGCGCGCGCGGTATATATATTTTTCCCTCCACCCCTCTGTCGTGCTCTCTCTCTCCCCC